AAGGCGTTTGAGATCAAATGAAGCAAGGAGTGAATGGAAGTCTGTAGCCTAAGGCTTGTCCAGAATGTTGAAGTCGCCAAAGACTAAAAGTGACTGTGACAGCTGACTGACAATTCCAGAGACCCACAGAGAAAGAAAGAGGTGCAGTAGAAGATGTACAGATAGGACGCAGGTTAGCAAGATTGCGTTGCCGTCTGCGTGTGACATTAGAGCGTTGTTGAGAGACAACCGGAATGTTTTGGAAACGCATGATAGAGGTGGAAAATAGAGGACAGAAAAGGAGAGTGTGTAAAGCGAAGATAAAAATAATACTTAAGTGCGTTGCTGGTTTTGTTGCTCAGTGATGTCGCGCAGGTAAAGTCACAGGTCTTTACACTCGACGGTCTTCACAGGAGGAGGCTGAACACAAGGGCTGAACGCTTCTGCTGACGCTTCCGTGTCAGTGCACAGACATCACAGAAATACACAGTCTAAGAGACTACAGTGAAAACAGCTGTGGCTGCCTTCTAATTAGCACAGCCGATAGCCTATAGCAGGGCAATTGCTCAAATTGAAACTACAGTTTGCACTTAAGTGCGGGAAGAGAGCAATGCAAATAACACGGGCTCCTTCTTAGCCGACAGCAATTATTATAATTACCAGTAAGTGCAATCAAAAATACAAACTACAATGAACATACAAAGTAGAAATAGGTAGACAACGAAATATTCCTTCCTAGCAGCAAGTAATAATTTAAACAACAGATCCACAAACAAAGTATTAAGCAAACCACTCATGCGCAAACCACTCAGTATTAAGCATGCATTCGCAAGTCACACCACATCACCGCCGCTGCTGCCATAAACCACAACAATCTCTGAAAGCACTTCAGAATCATCACTCTCCCCAGTTTGATCGAGGTGAGAGCACTGATCAAGGACTGTATTCATTCCTGAGTACAGTCTGTGATGTTCTGCGTGGGGCAAAGCCTGCTCTTTTGCACATTGATTGTCAGTCCTAGATGCTTGAGATGTTCTAGAAGCTGACACTTGTGGTTTTCTAGCACGTCCCCGCGACTGGGCTATAACAAGCCAATCGTCCAGATAATTCAGGATGCGTATTCCACTCTGCCTGAGAGGGGAAAGCACTGCATTACACGCTTTGTAAAGGTTCTTGGGGCTAATGCCAACCCGAATGGGAGAACTTTGAACTGATAAGCTCTGCCTTTGAACACGAACGTGTTTCACCATTATCATTTTGAATGAGTGCTTTGCCAGTGCGCGGTCTCAAATCCAGAATAGGGCGAAGACCCACATTCTTTTTGGGGACAAGGATGGAGTGACTGTAAAGGCTGCTCTCCATATTTTCCGGGGGAACTGCTTCTATTGCCTGCTTTACCAGGAGAGAATGAATATCTGCTTGCAAAACTGGTGCATCCCTGTCTGGCACATCTGACATCATCACACCGCAGAAACGGGGTGGTCTGCGTGCAAACTGAAGCGTATACCCACTTGTGACCGTGTTCAGCACCCATTCTGATACTCCTCGAAGTGTGCGCCATGTGTCCGTAAAGCGAGAGAGGGGTTGAAGCGCCTTGTGACATGTCTGGGACGGTTTGCTGTCTGATTACAGGGAACCGCCCACCACTTGAGGGGCATTGCTGATGTCTTTTGCACCCACTGGCCCACCGGCGTGTGCCGGGGGAGCACTCGTGTTTAGATTGAGAGAGCGCACAGGGCTTGTGCACTACAGAGCGCCGTTTGAAAACAGGACTCTACTTATAATGCGTGATTGGGAACAAAAGTGAGGAGAAAAAGTGCTCTGATGTTGAACACTGTTTGGTTTGTTTTTTATTGCAAACTTTATTGGCACTGAACATGCCAAAAAATTAATAGTATTAATTGGTCAGGTGATGGCGAAAAAGATGTGTCTTTAGATGTTTTTTGAAAATGGCTAAAGACTCAGCTGTTCGGATTGAGATAGGCAGGTTGTTCCAACAGCTGGGAACAGTCCAGGAAAAGGTCCATGAGAGTGATTTTGTGCCTCTTTGGGATGGCATCACGAGGCGTCGTTCACTTGCAGAACGCAAGCTTCTGGAGGGCGTGTAGGTCTGAACTAGCGAGTTTAGGTATATTGGTGCAGCGCCAGTGGTTGTCTTGTAGGCAATCATCAGTACCTTGAATTTGATGCAAGCGGCTATTGACAGCCAGTGCAAACTGATGAAGAGAGGTGCGAAGTGAGCTTTCTTCGGCTCGTTGAAGACCACTCTGGCTGCTGCATTCTGGATCAGTTGCAGAGGCTTGATAGCACATGCAGGAAGGCCCGCCAAGAGAGCATTACAATAGTCCAGTCTAGAGAGAACAAGAGTTTGGAAAAGGAGTTGTGAGTTTGGAACAGTCTGCTCTGTTAGGAAGGGTCTAATCTTCCTAATAGGGCCTTTCGCACCACTTTAGTTCCAGAACTAAATGTACAGTACTGAAGTACTGGGACGATTTTGCGCGAACTATTTCCCAGTACCATTTAAAGGGTTGCATTCGCACCGAGAGTGTGTACTAAGAAGTGACGTAAGCTGGTCGACAGCGTCGTCATTTGTGCGCGGCGTTCAACAACAGAAACAAAGAAGAACAACATTAACAACAGGAGGATGGAGGACGCTGGGATTGGAGCTGTGTTTTTGTTGTTTCTCGCGGGTTTCACAATAATGGACATGGAATGTCGATGTATACGTAAAGCGATTGAAAGAACGGGTTCCCGCGGTGCGAAAGGCCCTAATGTTGTATAAGGCAAACCTGCAGGACCGAGCCATTGTAGCCATATGGTCTGTGAAGCTTAAAGGGATAGTTCACCCAAAAATGAAAATTCTGTCATTAATTACTCACACTCATGTTGTTCCAAACCCGTAAGACCTCCGTTCATCTTCTGAACACAAATTAAGATATTTTTGATGAATTCAATTCTGAGTACTCCCTGACCCTCCCATAGACAGCAATGTAATTACCATGATCAAGGTCCAGAAACGTAGCAAGGAGATCGGCAAAATAATCCACGTGACATCAGGGGTTCCCTCCGTGTCACCCTGGTGCCATTTTGGAGAGTATACAAAAAGTATTCTCATAGCTTCGTAAAATTACGGTTGAGTTCCAGAGACCAATTGGAATAGAGAGTAAAATAGTGGAGGACATAGGGACAGTACGCAGATTATTAGGATTGCACTGCCTCCAACGTACAGTGTGTGATTTACGAGTGTTAGTACTAATAGTAGAGATTTGAACGCACATAAGAGTACAACTGACTAGAACAAGTAGATGAGAACAAGTTATACAAAAAGTAAAGAAAGGGGGAAAAAAAGCAATACTCAGGCGCCTTGTCGGTGGCTTCACACGAAAGCTGCCGTGGTGTACTGAGCAAATATATACTTCCCTGATTCCACGTAATTGAATTCAGCTGGCCATGCCTTACTGTACTTTTAAACCCAAACTGCAAAGCCACGCAACACGCACGAGAACAAATGCGACTTCAGCACGTGTTTACCACGGTAAACACAGTAAACAAAACAATGTGTCCTATTAATGACAACCCGCTAAAATCTAATGAGAAAACATACAAAACACTTACAGACTGCTGTCCTCTTCTGCTGCTCGACTGCTTCTTGGCTTAGAAAACCTGGAGAACGGTCATCGTATGAATCGCAGAGACCGCTTGGTCGGCTGCCATGTAAGCTTTGTCAGCGATGTGGCTTGTGGTGCGACATGGCTTAGATGGAAGTGATGGCGAGGATTTCCACCCACGTGTGGTTGGACAAAGGTGTGCGGCGACTGCCTCCTCAATGGGCGGCGGCGACTTACAGTAACCCAAGTGGTCGGCTCCATTGACAGAGGAAAGCATACGCAATCCCGCAGCTTGGGCTCAGGACGAATAGGGGGAGCACCAAGACCACAAGATCTCCTTGTGTACTTCAGGGGAAAAGGGAGCGGGTCTCTGGGGGGATGCAACATGGCGGCCCGACTGCAGATACCGCATATCCAACCTGTTTTTGGCTGGTTGCTCGGGGTGCGACCAGTCCCAAATCCTGGACAGCCTCAGAAAGGTTCCTTATCAGCTCCTCATTGACTGGGGCTGGAGGCTCGCATGCCTTTGATGCTTGCTTCATGAAGTTGAAAGATTCTGAGTTAATGACACTGGGTGCTGACCTATGTAGTAGATGGCTCCACCCCTAGCTTGTACGCTCAAGCGTCATTGGCCGGTAATATTTACCAGCGCGATGCTGTCGAGTTGACGTGGTCTTTCCAGAAAGGTCACATATCACCAATTCTTGAGAAGTGGGACAAAACAGGGTGCAATATTGAAAAAATAAAACTTTGTACTCAGACAAATGAAACTACATTTTTGTATCTTACATGTACTAAGCTACTGACCTATGCTTTTATTCAACCTCCCAATTTTTCTCTTTTTATCAAAATGTGATTTTTACCATGCCATTACTTATTTTAATATCAAGCAATCAAGATGTTTTTAACATTTCAAAACACATTCTCATGTTAGTAGACAGATTACATTTTCAAATGTGACCAACAATTCCTCAACAAATATAAAATATCATAATCAAATATTATCAAAATATTCATCTGACGGATGTGACATAGACCTGATCGAGTTGAAACATCTGACGGTAGTGACGGAAACCTGAATTTGTGGTCATTTTAACAATCAAATACATTGAATCAACCAATTACTATATTAAAACAAATACAACAAACAGTGAGTATGTTATTGTTTATAAAGCTTTTATTCAAGGTTCACATTTAAATATTTTGATATATCATTGGAACACAAATTATATATTTTCTCATCTCAGAACAGTATGTCTGCTGTGCATCTGCAATGGTAACAAGGTAACTTTTAAAAGCAGTTAAATGAAAAAATAAAACAATTAGTTGTTACCTCTATCCACTTAAATTCACCAGGATCTTAATATTCACATTTAAACATCTTAACAAATGATCCAGAAATTATCAGAACACATTTGATCAGAATGCAAGCGAACTGTATGTATAGATATGTTTTATCCAGTGTTATGTGTTCTCTCAGCTTTAAGTTCCCTGAATCTTATGTTCCCTCGCCCGAACTCTGCTAGAAGTGATGACTATCAATCCACAAAAGCAATATATGCTCTATATTAGTATTTATAGATTATTAGAACAGTCAAACACTATTTTATATTTAAAAATGACTTGAAAACCACAAAAATATGATGACTTCACATTGAATGTCAACTCCATCACTGGCCCGTCACCACTGTCAGACAGAAAATCTGACTGTGGTGACATCTGACAGTGTTGACAAATTTGGCATTTCTTTCACAAAACAAACGGAGTTCATGTAGTAGCCATTTTGTTTTTTTTTCTGTTGATGCTAGATGCTAATAGAACCTGCTTCAGGAAAATAAAATGATCTAAATATTTCAAATAATTTTCTCAGAAATTGGAAGATGTTGACATCATGGGTGTGACACAGGAAATATTAACATTAGGATTTAAAATATATAAAACTATAAAACTTACTCTGCAGAGGTGGAATGTGGCAAGGAGGTCATTTATAGTAACAGCTGCCCCTGATATTCCCTAAGTTTTGATGTCTGACGGTGTTGACAAAAAGTGGGGACACAACTTTGAAACCTTATGAAACACACGTGTCATTGAAAACAACCTTGCTTTGATATGAGATATTACTAAATGTTGCTTTTGATAAAACAAGCTATTTTTCACCATTAAACAAAAAAAAAACAAAATACATTTTTATCCATTTTATAGCATATGAATGAGTGAACCCTTCCCTGTGAACACGTTTTAGATGTAGTGAGAAGACGATAAGTATTTGATATAATAATGATAAAATTAAATTGAAGGGGATAATTGTGTTAAATACATTCTATTATTAATCCCTCATAACATTTACAATTGAACATATTTTCATTTTTAAACCTATTAGCAGTTACAGTTGCTGGACATGTTTTGTCCCATGTCTCAAGAATCAGTCATATATACTGTAACTTTTCACGAGTTCGCCTGCCCATCCAGTCCTGATGGTTAATGGTAAATGAACTTGGCTTGCTGTTCGTAATGGAGGCTCAAACCCGAGGCTCGGCTTGAGCGCCGAGTTCAACCCCCCATACTGTACTACCTAGAGGGAGGAAAACAAAAATAGAGGAGAAGATGGGGAGGTGGAGGGATGCCGGAAGAGTTGACACTGGCACGGTGCAATGAGAGCTGCTTATATAGGCTCGCAATGATTGACAGGACTGAATGATTAGCGAACCTACGTTTGGAGCTTAATTTAAAAACATAATCCAATACAGATGACTAATTAATTCTTTAAACTTTCAATAAAAATAAAAAAGTTGTGGCTTAATGGTTAGAGAGTCGGACTTGTAACCCAAAGGTCAAGGGTTCGAGTCTCGGTACCGGCAGGGATTGTAGTTGGGGGGGAGTGAAAATACAGCGCTCTCTTCCACGACTGAGGTGAGATCCTTAAGCAAAGCACCAAACCTCCAACTGCTCCCCAGGTGCCACAGCAAAAATGGCTGCCCACTGCTCAGGTTGTGTTTACAGTGTGCGTGCATATTTATTTGTATTTTTATTATAATTAATTTAATTTTTAGCTTAGTTGAGATAGGTGGGAAAGTGAGGAGATAGAGGAGTTGGGACTCAGAATAGGACAAATTCAAACTTGTGTGCAATTTAAAATTCATAACTCCTATTTTCTCCATCAGATTCCCATCAGTTCACTCTGGATCCAAACACTGCACATAAACACCTCAATTTTTCTGATTGGAAGGAACAGGTGACTTTCAATAACAGCCGTATCCAGCCGTGTCCTGATCATCCAGACAGATTTGATGTTTATCCTCAGGTGTTGTGTAGAGAGAGTGTGAGTGGATGCTGTTACTGGGAGTTTGAGTGGAGTGGGAATAGGAGTGGTGGTGTGAATATATCAGTGTCATATAAGAGCATCAGCAGGAAGGGATCTGGTTATGAGTGTTTCTTTGGATATAATGATCAGTCCTGGAGTTTATCCTGCTCTCCCTCTAGTTTCTCATTCTGGCACAATAACAAAAGGACTGAACTCCCTGTTCCCTCCAGCTGCTGGAGAATAGGAGTGTATGTGGATCACAGTGCAGGAACTCTGTCCTTCTACAGCGTCTCTGACACAATGAACCTCATCCACACAGTCCAGACCACATTCACTCAGCCGCTCTATCCTGGGTTTTATGTTTGGGGAACAGTGAATCTCTGTAATTTAGCAATTATAGATGATTCTGAAAAGTAATACCAATAATGTTGTTGAATCAAATCTTTGAGCTGCATGATAAATCAGTAACCATGAGATGTTATAGTATCTAAAGGAAAACACATTATTTGAAAGAGAGTGGCAGCTTGTTGTTATATATTGTTTTTTCCATAAACAAAAACGGATCAGTCTTTAATCCTTGATAGATATCTGCAGTGAAGATAATATTCACGGCAATATTTACATCAATATAATACATTGACATGAGAAAACTCTTCAACTCTATTTAAAGTGTAAAGTAAGTGTGTTCAGATACTAAACACACATTCACACACTCATACCTGTATATGTGGTTTACGGGGACTCTCCATAGGCGTAATGGTTTTTCTACTGTACAAATTGTATTTTACGGTGGACGAGAAGTGCAAAACAAATCACAATTCTAAAAACAAAATAACAAATTACAAACGCAAATGCAAATCTAAAAAACAACACAAAACAAAATAACAAATCAGAAAACACAACAACAATTCCGAAAACATTATAACAAGTCAGAAAACGATGACAAATCTGAAAACAAAATAACAAGTCAGAAAACACAACAACAAATCAGACAAACTGGAAGAGGTATAGTTTGAGACAGCGTGAGAATAGATTACTCACCGCTGACTGGACAAGACATCTGTCAATCAAGGTGTACAGGAAGCAGAGTAGTGGTAGAAAGTTCGGAGATGGTCTTAAAGTAACACAGTTTAAATGCATTGTATGAATTGTTCCCTTACTATGGAATAAATAGAAAATGCATGTACTTGTTCTTAATTAATTTGCTTGGTTAAATAAAAAATAAATAAATCTACATTTACAACACTGTACTTATATTACCTTTGAATCAGATTACAAAAAAAAATAGTTAACGCTAATGGGAGGGTGTTTCTAATACAGTGTCTATGGGAGTGACGGTTAATTTGACATAGCTCTCTCTTCTGACTGCCATTCAGTCTCTCTCTCTCTCTCTCTCTCTCTCTATATATATATATATATATGTCGTGAAAACACTATTGTGGCAATTTTCTTTTGCTATTTGAGCAAATGGGAATGCAAAAAAAAAAAAGAAGGCAGAGGTGTGTTAAATTGGGATTTTTGTGGGTTGTGAGGCAGAGATAATTTAAAGGGGAGAATATAAATACAAAATATTAAGAGTTGAACAGTCTTTTTATTAGGAAAATTAAACTGGAATTGAGTTGTATCAAACAGCATTAAGGGTGCTTTCAAACTAGCACTTTTGGTGCACACTGGGGTTCGATTGATATCAGAGTTCGGTTCGTTTGGATAATGAACGCTGTCTTCCGAACTCGGGTGCACACCCATGAACCGTACCCGAGTCTGCTTAAAATGGGTGGTCTCTGGGGTACGATTCATGTGAACTCCAATACGGTTCGCTGCTGATATGAATGCAATCATACCAAATCACGGAAGTGAACCACTATTAATGACGTATTATTTGATTTAAAAAAATGTGTTTGTGTGTGTTTCACTCACTTTCCTGACGTGACGTGACTCTTTGCTGCAAGCAAAGAGCTGTATATCTCATTTCATTGCCGTTGTGTTTTCTGACTTATTTTGTTTTCTGATTTGTCGTTGTGTTTTCTGACTTGTATTGTTTTCGGATTTTTCATTGTGTTTTCTGACTTGTTATAAAGTTTTCTGAATTGTTGTTGTGTTTTCTGAATTGTTATTTTGTTTTTTAGATTTGCATTTGCGTAATTTGTTATTTTATTTTCAGAATTGTGATTTGTTTTGCACTTCTCTGCCACCGTAGTATTTGCTATCCCCTTGCCCAAACCCTACACCTCGCACAAAACTACAGGCATTTTTTGAATTTCAAAAACACTGACTGTGTTTTTTTAAGGACACAGTAAGTATCCTCATAAACCACGTTAACGTTGTATTACCCGTGTCAGTATACACATTTGTGTCCTCATAAACAATGTTTTCAAGCTGTTATGTCCATATTTTGAATAATCTGTGTACGATGGGGGCTGCTTCTCTCTGTGTATTCTGTATTCTTCTATATGCTAACTTCTGTATACCTGAGACTTAAGATCAATCTGAGCTGTGTATCAGCTAAAATTTTGTGTACATCAGATGCTCTATTATAGGGCTGGATGATATGGTCTAAAATCAAAACCTCGATTAATTGAACACTTTACCTCGATTATGATTAATGATTATTTTATTGTTTATTTTTATTTTTTTGCCCTCATAGTTCATTAAGGGTTGAAATGAAGATGTCTTATGAAAAAAGTCACATTTCAGTTTTATTGTAAAATGGATGGGTGAGCGAAACTATATTAAACTGTCATTGTATATGTTACACACATTATACAAATGTATTCCTTCACACAAACATATTGTAATAAACTTTTCCCCTACTGCGAAACTATGTATGTATATGCCTGTGTTCATTTATTTCATATATGAAAGTGATGCCTTTTATTTTTGGTTTGTTTTACTCGTGTGTTTTATTTAGGGCTGTCTCTATGGCTACGTTTCATCATTTTGAAAGTTAGGTTGTACCTAGATGGCGCCAATAAAGTGTTTAGTTTGCAAACCGCCAGTTCACGAGTTCGCACTTACATATATAATAGAATTTAGCAAATAGTAAGAATATTTGGTGTGCTGCCTTGAAGGAGGGCTCCGAGCTCACAATATAGCCCGAACCCAGAGAACTCCCCCCAGTATAGGATGAGAATAGTTTAAAAGTAAGGCGCTGGGGTGGAGGAGCGATGCCGGAAAACTGTCATGGGCAACCCGTTCTCATCAGTCTGCGTATAAATAACACGACTTTACACTTTCTAATTGCGTGTAATGCATACGCCAAATGCCAATTTTGCGTGCATATGATACGCCAATCCTTCACATTAACTTCGGTGGAGAGCAGTCGTGTTATTTATACGCAGACTGATGAGAACGGGTTGGTCATGGGACAGAGGTGAGTTGGCTGTGTATACATATCATGCTAATTAAGTTGATCAACTAGACGAGCTCCACCTGTGTTGAATTGGTTGATTATCTCATCATGCTTCTCCCGAACCTTGTTAATAAAACATAATTAAAAGAAGAAGATGAGCGCAGATTTGACGCTGTAGTGGAAGCGCACCGTTAGCGCGCCTCTCACGTGCAAGACACTGTAAAACGCTTTTTTTTTTAGAACCGTATTTTCTTCTGTTTAATTAGAGAGGGAGCCAGTTAATTGTTGTTGTTATTTTTTGGGGGGTGGGGGTTATGGTAGGTAGGTAGGTAAGTTAGTCTTTAAAAAGCTTCTAGTAAGACTACTCTTTTATTTTGACCTTTCACCTCCTGAAGCCGTAGTTTGTTTACATCCCACAATTTATATAATAAAACTATTTTCTGTTATATTTGAAATCTGGTTTCACTGAGATTTTGTTTCTGCCCTGCAACATGGAGAAGGCAGTTCTCTCCTCTTCTCCCTGTTATTGTTACACTCCTTTTCCTACCCCTAAACTTGAATGAGGCGCATAGCAAGTGGGGGCAGTATTTGAACCTGGGACCTCTCGCGCACCAGAAAGAATCATACCTCTAGACACACAGGCAGTGGCGTGCACAGGGGGCATCGCTGGCGGTAAAGTGCCCTTCAAAGTGCCCACTTTGGCTCAAAATGAGCAGCTAACATAATTTCACTAATATCATAAGCAGAAAGTGTGAACAAGCACTAGTCAGATGAAATTATAATTCAAATTTTTTTGGAGTATTTCTTTGTTGCACAGTGCACATTTCTTGCTTTAATATCACTATTAATAAGGATTGTATCTCTGTATAATATCAGTCTTTAAATGCAAGATACCTGAAGTGTTCCACTTTAGCACAAATCAAATACACTTCAGTATATCTTTAGTCGGACCTCAGCACTACTTGCGCACAATTAAAGAGCACAAAATTAGTTGTTCCAATTTAGCAGACTTTAAGTATACCAGTTTAGCATACCAAAATTACCAAAAGTGTTTATTTTCACTGGAGCAGCTAACATTGCATCAAAATGGCCTCAATGCAAGGAAATTGTTGCAAAGAATATTTCACATGAAAGGTCCATTTACCGCATCATCAAGAACTTCAAGGAGAGATGTTCAACTTCAGTAACTAAGGCTCCAGAACATCCCAGAATTTCCAGCAGGGCCAACCTGTGGAGTCAACTACCAGTGCAGAGCTTGTTCAATATTAGCAGCAGGTAAGTGTGAATGATTCTGCACACACAGCCCTATGTTTACATGCACAACTTTTGTTTCAATCAGACTGAATTCATTCCAATTGATGAATCTGAATGTAGTGTTTATATGAACGCTAAATAAAGTGATCAAGTTCCTGTACGTGTTTATATGTCACAAGCTTCAAATCAAATTCTTTTTTTTTTTTACATGCACACACTGCAAGCATATAGAGAGTTTCCTGCTGTTTGCGCATAATAACCATTCTCCTACACTGTTTCTTTATTTGTTTTAAACAGCAGAATTAATATTTATCCATTTCTGGTCATAACTTGGTGAAAATGAGCATATAACCCTCTTTGTCCTGCTGCTTATATTAATCACGCAGAAAAAATTCCCATCCCTGCTGTAATGAAATTAGCTCTTTTCAGAAATTTGAATCTAAAGATTCGGAGTCAACTTGATTAGAACTGAGTCCAAAATAGATAGTTTACACTTTATCAACTGTTCATCCAGCGAAACGTTAACATCAATATATCTTAACAATTTGGATATTTATATTATGCCCTGCCCAAAGTCATAATAACTGTTAGTGATGATTTATTAAGCTACGAGCTAGCTAGCAAGATCTGGGCAAAGTTTTAACTTTAAAATACACAACACAAGACAATGATTCTTGTCTTCACAATATTAAGCATATCACTCAGTTGTTATGGGTATAAATAACAGCGTCTCCGCCATATATGATGGCTGCCTATATGATAGAGGACAAAGCACAGTACTTTGCTAGCCGTTTAGCCCTCTTTTTGGGCATCCTAAGTTTTTGAAGCCCTCTTACAACCAGCCTGTGTGTGTGTGTCCTAAGCTGCCAAATATAAAAACAAGTAATCGGCCTCTATAACCTATCTCTGAAATGCTGTTTAGGAGTGGTTGATATTTAATGACTTTAGTCATGAAAGCTTCCTCCATACTAGAGTCAAAGGTGCATGCATCCTCCAAAACAAAGACCTTTCTACACTCCTCATTAATCACAACAACATCTGGTGTGTTAGCAGACAGGCATGAAAAGATTTCAGAATTACTGTTAAGATACTCTAATTGCACTCCAAGGGCAGCCAGTTTTAATGCCTATCTGAAGTGGTGTTGTTGGGTGA